AATAGTTTGTCTATTCTGAACAAAATGGTCCGAGAAATAACTGTAGGTTATAAAGCACACTATTTAATGTTTTTTATGCAAAAAGGACGCATCAAAGGTTTATGACCGAATATGCGTAGTGCACTGAGAATTTGCATCTGGCTGTTTTGCCGGTATGAGATTCCACCTCGGCCTTTATATTCATTTTATACTGCTATACATTATTGTGTCGTTTATTATCACTTCACCACCCGGTGGGACTGTAATGGATACTAATTTCCTGCGTGAATCCCGTTCGGCTACCGCTAGGTGTCCAGGAATGAATATTTTATTTATTTTTCCATAAGCCCAATATTTATTCTTTTAAAAATTACACGAATATGGTCATAGTATTTTATTATCTAGTAACACTTGCTTGTTTAATCAAGGAGAATTATACATATTAAGGTCACTTCAATACATCCCAACTATTACTATTGAATGTTACAAAAAGTTAGACAAAGGGTACTTACGTAATACTGTTCCTCACACGGCATCAATCTGAAAAAATGAAGAAAATTACCGCAGCTTCTCCATAATCACGTCACTATTCACAATAAATAAAGAACTAAGTAAAAGTTATGAACGGAAAAAACTAATTTGTGTCAGAGCACTATTCAACTCAGTAAAATTAATTTCCTACATATAAGACTGTTTTAAAATGTAGTGCAATACCAACAATTGCAACAATATTTTTAGTTCTTTCATCTTGTGATATAAATATGTAGTATTTTTTCGCTCTGTCTAAATAGATCTACTTTTCCATCGAAAAAATAGTATTCTCTTCAGTTGACTCTTTTTTAAACAAAATAATATAACGATGTAGAGATGGTTGACCGTTGATATAATATGAGAAGGAATTGATCGGGGGGTGCGGTCAAATTAATACTAAATTAAATACGTAGAATTATTTAATTTTTGCCGACGTTTCGACCCACTTTGTAGGTCTTCATCAGGGCTACAAAAGATACAAAACATAGTGAAAATAAATGAATATAGGTAGATATAAAATAAGAATAAGTTGTCTGCTACAGAACTAAAAGATGATATCAGAGATGTAGTGGATGACAATGTAGTTAAAATAACAAGTATTATAAGTAGTAGATATAAACAAAAATGGAAAATAAGTATGAATAAAAATGAGTGTATAACAAACTAATAAAGATTACATTTGATAAATGTAGGTTAACATGTAAAGAAAATGAAAATGTAAAAATATAAAAAAAATAATATAAAAATATAAAAAAATTAAAATGAAAATGTTAACCTACATTTATCAAATGTAATCTGTTTACTTTCAACTTACATGCTATATTCTCCTTTATTTTCTATTTTTATTCATACTTATTTTCCATTTTTGTTTGTATCTTCTACATATAATACTTGTTATTTTAACTACATTGTCACCCACTACATCTCTGATATCATCTTTTAGTTCTGTAACAGATAACTTATTCTTATTTTATATCTACCTATATTCATTTATTTTCACTATGTTTTGTATCTTTTGTAACCCTGATGAAGACCTACAAAGTGGATCGAAACGTCGGCAAAAATTAAATAATTCTACTTATTTAATTTAGTATTAATTTGACCGCACCCCCCGATCAACTCCTCATATTATATCAACGGTCAACCATCTACATCGTTATATTATTTTGTTAAAAATAGTCAACTGAAGAGCATACTATTTTTTCGATGGAAAAGTAGATCTATTTAGACAGAGCGAAAAAATACTACATATTTATATCACAAGATGAAAGAACTAAAAATATTGTTTACGCAGAGGTATTGCAACCTACTGCGCTTAATTTTAATAGCTAGTCGTTGGTTATTTTTTTCTACATAGATTTCGAATGTTATTCACTAAATAAAATGTATGGAGGGTCTGAAACAGGTAGGAATAATTAAAAATTTAACGCGAGAGGATCCGTGGGGCCCAGTTAATCATAGCTAAAGAAGAAATATAAGACAGTACTAAGTTTAACTAAATAAAGTGATAAAAACGTTTTTCCTTCATTTGTAGTGTTTTTATCTTTTAAGCTCAACTGTGATTCACTTGTTTTTCCACCATTTCTTGAAATGCAGGTGTTTGTAGTATTGAAGTGTTACAGCAAGTGAATCATGTACCATTTTAGTCAATAATTGTGCAGTTTGTCTCTTCACCCAGCTTCGGTTAGGCCACCGGTCTCTATTGTTCTCTCTATCGACATCCCTGATAAACTGAGAAGAAGTTTGTTTTAGAACACCCTTCAACCCGCACACAAAGCCCTTAAAGTGTAGGTAGCTCTGATCTGTCGATCGCTGTAGGAACTCACTATGTATTTTAACGCAGAGCCTGTTTCCCTCAGCAGTTTGGCCCTTAGTGTCTCATAGAGCGCACGCAGACTACGATGATATGCTCGGCGGTTTTCTGGTACGCCACAATTTAGTCATAGTGGATCGATATTTATGCTGTATGAAAAGCATCTCTCTGAAACTCCTCTGGTACAAACGTCCCAGAAGACCCTTGTCTATTCTATGCGGAATCCGACGTTGTTAAAGCGCTTACTCAGTTTAGCCCCTAACCACCCCATTTGGGATCGTCACCCGCTGCCGGTTTCATTATTATCTGTAGTTTCCCATTGGATCATGTTTCAAGTTCTGGGGTCTTCATTGATCCTTTCTCATGGATCCACCAAGCAAGCCAACTTCCCTTAAACTTGAGTCGTAAGTGGTTTTCTCATAGAAGCAGATCAAGAGCCATTCCTCTTTCTCATGAGGCAAAAGGTATCCTGAATGACTTGGTAAATCGAAGAATACCCATCCGTTGGAACGTCACCAACTTACTCTTTTGTACGTCTAAGAGATTCCGCTTCCTAGTTGCCCAATCATGATTCGTTTTATTGTTTCAACCTCCTTTTATAAAGAAAAACTAGTACAAGTTATATGTTTTTTTAAAAAAACTATTATTTACCACACTTCATTTCTATCTTAATTTTTTTTTCTTAGCCTCTTATCTTGATCCTCCATAATTTTATTTTTAACTGTTACATATATGTGTACAAGATATATATTCATATATATATATACTTATATATTCACAATATTTGACAAATTAGCCTCTTATAAATTTTATATACCTTATAATAGTAATGAATAAGATCAATAAATTGGAATTCAAATTGTCACATACATATAATTTTATGTGTACTATCTGATGCTTTATTATATGCATAATATATATTGAGCCTACCACCATCTTGGGATTCATTAAACTATATTTTTCATTACAATTTGTTTTATTGCTTGAGTTACCTAACCATTCCTAAATCTCTTCCATTTCAAATCTCTAACCATCATCACTTCAGTTGAAACAAATTTATGTGACTTACAATAAATTGCTTCTTTTTTTTCTAATTTTATTGAATTCTCGATAATTATTGTTTTCTAATTTGTTCCAGGCTGTCATAATGTCACTTCCAATTGTATTAAATAGTTTAACCCATTAATTAGATAGTTTAGGATAGCTGCTTGCGATTCCATATATGCATAATATGTTCCTACAATATTATCATGACAAAATTTATGAACTATTCGAAAATTTATGAATCCCATTTCCGTAGTTGGACACAGAACACCAAGTAGCCTACTCATCCGAACCCCTTGCTCCACTATCGACTACCACCCACCCACTCGAAGCCTGCTCCTAAGTTTAATTTAGATAAGAGAGGCTCAATGTCTTAAAAGGTATCAGATTTTAAGCAAACTTCATCCAAGGTTTAATAATAAATGAAATTTAAATTCCACTGATTGGTTTAATTAATTAATTCGTTTTTTTAAAGTATCATTAGACTTTCTTTACTTTGATTTTTCAGATATTGTTATTTGCTATTACTCAAAATATTTTTACCTAGCTGAGTTTAACTAAAAAAATTAAACAAAACAAAAAATTGTGTAAAGTTGCTAATTTGACTAGGACACCGGTCAATCTTTATTCATGATTTCCTCTCCGAATCATATTACATTTTCATCTCCAGGCCAAACCCAAATCAACTTTTTTTTCTTGTTCAACGGACCCTGAAGTTTTATTCGTACTTAAAGCGTCCCTTTTAAGTTTCGATGTTTTTTAATTATTACTAAAATAATGAAAACTTTTCGGAACAATTAACAACGGAAAACAAACTTTTACTATTTAAACCTAATAAATTAAAATTTAATTTATCTTTTATAAATACAACTGAAAATTGCTATAATCTCTCTGCGAATATAACCATATATTACATGAAACAGCATGCAATACTCTTCCAAATGATAAAATAAAATTTGAAGTGACCATCGAGTTTAATGGTCAACAAAATAATGTTTGAATTTATTAAATTGGAAAGGGAATAAAATCTTATGTGTTTAGAGGTAGAGGTCAAAACTATAGAAGTAAAAATATATTAAAAGCAGATATTGGTGATTTTCAGCAGCAATCGCATGAAGTGACAATTATATGTCTATATAATGATAATCAGTAGGATTCTCGAGAAATAAATATGGTAAAATAATATCACAGGCAATAAATAGTACAACTCCCAACCAGATATCATTCTCAAGAAGGAATCGTATTCTTTGATGTCCTAGCAAGATATCCCCACTGAAAAGAAACTCCCGCAGTGCCACATCCTACGCCCTGAAGACGACCTGCAAAGTGGGTCGAAACGTCAGCAAAAATTAAAATAATTAATATATTTTAATTTTTTATTTATTTGACCGCACCCTCGACTAACTCCTTCTCATATATAATTCCTCTATGCCAATCGTTTCATATCATATTGTTGATAGGAAATCGATAATGAGGAAGACTCCTCATTACTGAACTACACAAGGTAATTTAGGTTGCATGCGAAATACTAATGTATTACCTGTTAAATGCGTTTCGACGGCAGTGACCTGAAGATCCGGATCCACAAGGGATAACATTCGTGGTGGCACATCAGCACCCTCAGCTGGTCCAATTAGCACTCTTCGATGAGGTTGAGCCGACTACTTCCTCTGCTTCTTTTGCCGTCTCCCACATCTTCCTCAAATATCTCAAATTCTTCCGTAGGTTTCTCATATTCTTCACCATCCCCTTCTTGGTCCGGGTCATTTCCTGAGTCAATCGGCCACGAAGGTCTAGGCGTAAATCTATCTGGTGGTGAAAGGTCTGGTGTAAAACTCTTTGGTAGTCCTCTCCTTCTGATAGATCTCCTGGGAAAATTCAGAGCTGGAGAATAGTGGCGTGGAGTAACAGCCCTCGGGTCAACTCTCTGTTCTGAAGGTCGATAAAAATATTCATTCTTCGAGACGCCTGAGTTCGAGCTAGATGCTACACCTTTTGCTTCTTCATCCAACTCCATTTCTAGACACGGAGTATCCTCCGACGAAGAGGAGAGGTAATAGTATTTAAGGCGATCGATGTGCATCACTTCCCTTTTTCCTCCAGACTTCTCGATGACGTAATTCACCGGGCAAGTTTTCTGTATGACCCTATAGGGTCCTTCCCTAGGGAGGAAAAACTTTTGACATTCGCCCATCAATGGCTCTGGTTTTTTAACGTATACAAGATCTCCCAACTTGAGAGAGCTGGGATGAGGCCCCCGGTTCAGCCTTCTTCTATTACCATCCTCAATCCGTCTGCTATTGTTGCTGGCTATATGGTAGGCATCTTGCAAGCGGTTAAGAATCTCTGCAAGGTAGTCTTTCTGGATGTCCACAAGGTCAAACGAAAGTTGGATGTTGCAAGTGAATGGTATAGCGATATCCCATCCAAACGTAAGAAAGTTTGGCTAGTAACCCGTTGAGCGATGATTTGAGCTTCTGAATGCCGCGAGGGCATATTCGACATATTAGTCCCAATTATTTCTCATTTTATTGACAAAGTGAACAATGGTGTCGGTGAGTGTACAATAAAAGCGTTCCACACATCCATATGCATTTGGCCGATAAGCAGATGTTTGAATTTTTCGGATCCCCATATTTTGCAAGTCTGCCTGAGCATGTCCGAACCAAAATTTGTCCCTCTATCACTCAAAAGGACAGCTGGAGCCCTATGTCGTAGGACAATCCTTACCAAAAATGCTCGCGATACCTCTTCAGCACTTTGTTCCTTAATCGGGATTGCCTCCGCATGTCTTGTGAAATGATCCACGAAGGCAAGAAGATACTTGCTTCTTCCCTCTCACGGTTTTCGGAAAAGGTCCCATAATGTCCATAGCAACCAACTGTCCGTCACCAGTCGTCTGTCTGGTAAGGAAGTTCACTCGCTACTTTAGGGAGTACCTTTCTTCTGCCGCAGGCTCTGATCTCTGAACGTATCTCTCGATGTCCCTCCACAGGTATTTCCAAAACTGGAATTTCTCCGCCCTTTGGATAGTTCGGTTAGTCCCGCCATGCCCAGCAAACGGCTCATCGTGCAACCATCTTAAAAAGTTTTAAAAAATAAATAAAAAAATTATCTCTTTTATATAATACTTATTATTGTTCGTGTGACTACATTTAATAGAACTTGAAGAATCACTTAAACACCATTTAGTATCTTTCTAAAGTAATTATCGTTATATATATATATATATATATATATGGAAAAAAAAAGTTTTCGGGCTGAAGTCCTCCCTCCCCGAAAATTAATTCCTGGATATGCTTGTGATTCTCAGGACTGCTAAAGTATTTAGCCTTGTATTACTCATCTTATACTTCATTTTAAATCAGGAACCTTCATCCTCTTCCCAATTCAAATCACCTCTTTGAATTAGTTATTTCCTTTTCTTGATCTGTAATACGTCTCCTTACCATAGGGAATGCGGGGGTATTTAACCTACTAACTACGGACACTATTTCACTAAAATTAAATGTCTACTTTCAGAAATGTAGATCCATCTGTGCTAATTCTGACTACCGGGTGTATTTTCTCTTCATGTAATATATTAATCCATAGATGGGCTAAATTTTATTACAACAATTGCGATTCTAAATTTGTCCAGCCATCATCAGTTTCCTTCAATAATCTGTCTTCTGTCAATTAGGCAATGCCACTGTTATAATGATAATAGTGCGTACATGATTTTCTGAAAAATCTCATCCGTAATTTACTTTTCGTCGGTAAGCTCATTCTTGTTCCGGTATAAATAGCTCTGTTGTTCTCTTTGATTACTGAAGCATAATTTTTCGTAACATTAATAAAATAATTGTACATATTAAATTTTATCTAATTGAAGTGTGTTGGTCTATGCAATTATTTTGTACACATGTTCCAAACATAATATTCATTACACACATAACCAACCTTACATAACCAAACAATACAAATCCATAAAAATGGTCACATCACATAAAAAAGTAATCTATTGTCATTCAGATAAATGCTCTTCCCACTGGTCCTCTGTAAGCAGCCGTTAAAAAATAAATTATTAAAAATGAAATGGATGAGTCCCAATCAGTTAGCCAAGCATCAATGGCATCGGAAACAATATTGGTATCGGATGTCAAGCCTGTAACTGGAGAGGAAGAAATATATTCGGTTGAAGTTTTTCCTGGCAACGGAGACGAAACTTCTGTCCAATTGAAGTTTACTAAACCAAACCTGATAGATTCTGGAACATTCGGGTTCGTATCATTGACTACTCTAGTTAATTCCAATGAAGCCGCAGCTATCAAAACCGTATTCCTTGAAAACCAAGTTGCCAACAGAGAATTGGAAATCATGAAAACTATTCGTCATTGTAATATTATAGAACTGAAATATTATTTCTTTGAAAAATATCAAGATAAAATAAAGATGAATTTAATTTTGGAATATTTACCGCAAACACTGTACAAAATACTTAAGCATTACCAAAGGTACAAAATGAAATTACATCCAACATACACCAAAGTTATCATGTATCAGTTGCTAAAGGTGTTGAATTATTTACACTCTCTTGGCATTTGTCATAGGGATATTAAACCCCAAAACCTACTTCTGAATTACGCTACAGGAGAATTGAAATTATGCGATTTTGGATCAGCCAAGAAACTAATTGAAGGAGAAAGAAATGTTTCTTATGTGTGCTCAAGATATTACAGAGCGCCAGAATTGTTGTTTGGGTCTGTTTATTACACAACGAAAGTAGATGTATGGAGTGCTGGTTGCATATTCGCTGAGCTTCTCTTTGGTAGAGTATTTTTTTTGGCAAATTCAACTCTCGAAATGCTTGTGGAAATAATTAAAGTTCTAGGCACACCAACACAAGGTGAAATCCGTAAAATGAATCCTAAAGCGCCGAAATTTGATTTACCAAAAGTGAAACCAAGAAAGATGAGCTTAAATATCAAAAATAGTACCCCATCAGATGCTGCAGACCTCCTGTCTCAGATTCTGGTTTGGGAACCTGAAATGAGAATAGCACCCATCTATGCCTGTTGCCACCGCTTCTTTGACCAACTGAGAGACCCCTGCACCAAGCTACCTGATGGTAGCTCTTTACCTTCATTGCTCTTTTACATGACAGAGCAGGAAATCTCTATTCAACCTGATTTAAGAAGTATCTTGGTTCCACAATATTCGTATGACACTCCCTCGACTGAAAGAATCACTCCTTGTGCTAATAGTTCTTGTGACAAACCCTAATATTGATTTTATTACCATAGCTGAAGAACATCACATCTGCGATACATGCTAGCAGTCTAAAAAAGTTTCTTTCCTTCAAACATTATGTAACATGAAATATTGAGCACCACATATAGGTTATTTTTAATTGTAGTTATGTTTTAACCAACTATTTTAATCGATTAAAATATTAATGAAGATTAGGGATTAGCATACCTTAAGATACCAAATCAAACTAAGAACTGTTTCATTGGCTACTTTTAACTTTAACTATGATTTTATTTAGTCTATATAAATCTACATGACAAAAAAAAGGTTCAATATATTTTAATTGTATAGGAATAAATTATATAATTACTCTCAATAAATTAAAATTATCTAAAAGGAAGAAAAATGGTCAAAATGTGCAGTCAAAAAATTATGTTTATGTATGGTGCTTGCCAAAAAAAAACATTGGAAAACTCAATAAAAATAATTTTTTAACTGAGCAGTCTCCTGACCATTTTTCTTCTTTACAATTTCAACAGTCAACTGCATATCCATCTCTAAAGTTATTTTTCTGTTTGAGATTTGCTAGATATAAAAAAAAAAGTATGATTGTAGGAGTACTAGTGTAATAAATGTAATTTTTATGTATTATGCTATAAATATTTTCAGCTCTAAACTATATGTCATTTTAAATTATAACTAAATAAGCTTTGACTAATTAAGAAATATGAAGGAGCAAATATAATTGTTTATCAAGATGATTACTAAATTATTAAAATGTATGAACAAAATTAAGAAACAATATTCTGTGGTGTGTATTTACTTTTAACATGACATAGAAAATATAAATTTTTTTTCATAATCAATTCAGAAATAAACCATATAGGTATATGAAAAATTTAACAATAAATGAGTTTATTATTCCTATAGTAGTTTTAAAAAAATATTTTACTTTATAGTGATAATGGGACAATAGTACTTCACTATCTTCCATGTTCTAAATTGCCTGATATATTTTCTTTATTGTATTTAAATTAAGAAAAATATTATGATGGGGAATGTCAAAGAATTACTGAATAAGGAAATAATATATTTATAAAAGTGTATATACATGATAGGTAATAGTAAAAAAATCCTTCAAAAACATCTACAAAAACTAAAATTAATATAATTAACTCATAATGGTTAATAAATTGTTAACTGTAGACTACATAGTTGGCAATTGGTTGCAATCAGAGAGAACACTCAAATAAAAAAAAAGATATTTTTTTTGTGCCAAGGTTTTGGCCTATGTTACAGGCCTTCATCAGCTAATGGGTGTTTGGTATGGTGTATGAATATTACCAAAAAATAACCATTAGGTGTAGGAGCTCTGATGAAGGCCTGCAACTAAGAGTGAAACAGCAAAATATAAAATAATATTTTTTTTATTTGTGTTCTCTCTGATTGCCACCCCAAACCGACTTATCAACCTCAATATAGTGAATGTGTGAATATAAAAGTGACTGTATATATCACTACTGTTAGTGCAAAACATCAGACATAAAAACTGATCATTTCTTATTGATTTATTGGTATAATTTCATATTTTATTTACCTCTGCTATTTTCCTATCTATCAGACTACTTATAGCAGTTGCAGACTATAAAATTCCATCTTTAGTGCAAAGAGAATAAACAAGTAAAATTATTATATACAACCTTTTGCACTAACAGTAGTGATGTGTAATTTATAACAATTTTAATTGTTTTGTATTTGAATTATTACCAAGATGCAAAACTGTTTGCAAACATGAGAAAGGCTATAGTTTTGACCGAATTATTGTCGGCAAATTTTAAAATGAATACAGAAATTGGAGATTAAATGACATTTTACTAAGAACATGATTGATGACACCAAGAGTAGGAAATATGGATAGAAGGTCTTTTACTTTACCATGATAATGGGACAGTAATGCATCACTATGATCAATGTCTGATATATTCTTTTCTTTGCATTTAATAATGCTTTCACCAACATTTCCATGACCAGGAAATATCCAAATCATTCCCACTTTTTCAGGAAGAAGTTTATAGTTTGGAAGATAATTTTTTGGCTAACATGTGGTATATTAGTTTGGTCACAATGGTGGTTATTTGATTAAGATTAGATATTGTAAGTTAGTATAAATATAGACACATTAATATGTCTAAGCTAATGGAATCAGCTTCCATCTTTAAATTTTATAAAGCTACCATCCATCCATGAAGGCATTGTAAATTTAATCAGTTCATCCTGATAACATCATCTATGTATTTGTAACTAAAAGTATGTGCCTGAAGTAGTGTAGTCATATGTTGTTTGTGCAGAAGGCAGTCAATAGGTCCTCTCAACTTAAAGGTAATTATGAAATGATTAAATTCAAAACTCTGTCATTAGTAAATATTTATTATTCATTTACATAATAAACCATTAGGGAAAAATAAATGTTAACATTAACATTTATTTGGATTCCTAATTCAATAAGAAATAAAACCATTTACAAAATATGGACAATCTTATGATATTTATAATACTTAACTCACTAAGGAGAGGTAGGTGACAAAGAAAAAATAATAATAATGAAAAAAAAAAGATGCTTATTACACTATTTTATGTTGAGATGTATCAATAAAATAGAATAAATTAATAATAATACAGAGAAACAGTTTAATATGAATATAAACTAAAAACCCTAGATGGAATGCACTGATACAGGAAGAGGCACAGGTACAAAGATAACTTTGATTTACATTTGTGATAAAATATCTTTAAGTCATAAATACTCATGTTCAAGGCCAGTAACAAATTTTTGGACAGTCCAGAACTCCAGGTGGTTACCTTAAGGTCTTAAAAATAAATAAAAAACTTTAGTCACCCACTGACCACAAGCCACACTTTGCTGTGCTTCATTTCAAATATCTGTCTGCCAATCACTCCCATATAAAATATAACATTAAAAAAGATATATGTTAATTATATTAGAAGTGGTTAGTGCACCTTAGAATAATAATATTTAAGCTTTAGATGTTTTAAATCAATTTATTTATAGTAATATTCCTTTAAGGTTTATTACTTTTAGACATTTGGTCAAAATCTATTCAGGAATTCATTGTTTCAGGTAAAGCTGTGCCGTTCGTCGAGTTGACAGTAGCCCATGCATCTGTACTAACGATACTTGCCATAAGCTTTGAGAGGTACTATGCCATTTGCCAACCATTGAGAGCAGGCTATGTTTGTACTAAAGCAAGAGCCATGTTGATTTGTTTACTTGCATGGGCTTTCGCAGCTCTGTTCACCAGGTAATATACTTTATCATTATTCATAAGTCTTATAGTCTTGATCAATCAAGATTTATTTATAAAAGTAAAGAAAAAAAAAAGTCATTTTAGAACTATGATTTAAGGAAAAGCGTTTTTTTACTCCACTTAGATTCAAATGTATCAAAAAAATGTTAATTATACTTCAATGAAGTTTATCCACTGATGAGATCCTGAGTCACCCTTCGCAATCATATGACATGGGGTAAGTAGCTAACTACTATTGTATATTTTTAGTAATCAGCTTGTTTGAACATTGTTTAATGAATCTTTGAAAAGGAAAAGAAAATGAAATGGAAATGCAAAGCTACTATAAAATCCCCAAAACTGTGATCGCGAAGGGGTTTTTGCAAGTAAAACTGTTTTATTTATATAGTTTCTCTTATATTTCACTCTGATGAAATTATTTAACTGAAATATACTATTTTGTTTTTGATGATGGTTTCTGGAAATGCGAAGTCACTTTTTTGGGAGATTTGAAACTGACCAAAGATATTAAATTTGTGAATTGTAGAAAATTTGAACAAAATCACTATTTAAAAACTAGTAAATTCAGTAGGCTTTGCGTTTCCAAAACCTTTGTTTATAATTTTATTTGTTTGTAAGTCAGCTCCAAAACATGCTATATGGATATTAATCATTTAAAATACATCATTTATTACTTAAACTGATTGATTTTTCTTTCTTTTCTGAGATTTTTTTTTGTTTCATTAGAATTACATGATAAAAAGCTCTAGAATCCTTAAAAAGCTTCATATAAGTTTCAAATAATTAGCATTTTAAATTTTTGGGAGTTATTTTGAATTATAAATTTTAAAAAACCTACGCGGTTGTTTACTCCAGGGTCATTTCACACCAAATCATCCAAAAAAAATTTGTTACCCACCCTTCTCAGATATTAAAGAAAATTTGTAAATATACATGTAAGTAAAAATACCTAATTCAATCGAATTCTAACAGATTTTTTTAAGAAAGGGGACAACAGAGAATGTGAATACTACCGATAAATATCTCTTCTTAGTGTCCATAGTAAAATATACTTAAAGATTTTAGAGAGACGACTACAAATAACAGTTAAATCCTCCTTGAGTGAAGAACAATATGAATTTAGGCCAAATAGGGAGTATTCAGGACCTTATATTTACTTTAATATAAATTTCAGAGAAATTAATCAAAAGGGACAAAGAGATATATTGTATGCTTGTTTTGTAGATCTGACTAGGGCATTTGACCAAGGAATCAAAACGGGCCTTCGTATATCAATTTTAAGTCTCTATGAGACTCAAAGAAATGTGAGAACATGCAATAATTTATTAGAATAATTCATAGCTAAACAAGGCATTAGGCAAGGGTGCAGTCTAAGTCCTCTGCTGTTTACACTTGTGCTAGACAATGCAATAAAAATAGAAAAACATAATATGAGATCCTATCAAATGGGATATAGAAATTTACAGCCCTTCTGTTTACTTATGCAGATGAATTGATGGTTTTCCGAAGCAATGGAGGAAACCTTCAATTCAACCGCATCCTTCAGGAAGAATTCAATAAGATCTATATGCAAAAAAATGTGGAAAACCAAAACCATGTGGATTCCCAGAAAACAAGGAAGAGGTGACAGAATAGTTCACTTGAGTGGAGTTCCATTGGAACAAGAGAAGAATTTTAAATACCTCGGTGCTCACATCAATGAACATGGATGAATTGATGTAGAAATAAAGAAAATAATGAAATCTACAGGAAGATGCTTTAACATCATCAAGAAAGGATTCTTGAACAAGTGAGATATAAGTAGGGTGACCAAAACTACTGTATACAAAAATACTTTCCTCTATAATGAGCTACTCTAGCGAGTCATGGACCATCACCACAAAACACATCAGTCAGATTCAAACCACGGAGATGCAATTCCTGTGCAAGATCAAAGGAAAAACAAAGAGAGACCACATAAGGAACTCCACAATAAGGAAAATCCTAAACATAAGACCAGCTAAGACTGTGATATAGGAAATTTTTTTAAAATGATTTGGTCATGTCTCTAGAATGCCACTGAACCTAGTGGCCAGGATTGTTTTTGAAAGTAAAGTTGAGTGAAGAAGATCTCAGGGAAGGCCCAGGAAGGCTTGGGAGGTCGGTTTCAAGGAGCCCTTTGACAGAAGGGATACTGACTGCAGGAAAAGGCAGCAGTTGGCCCAGAATCAGAAGTTGTGGATTTGACTGTACAAGAAGGCACCTCACACCGCTCAGTGCTAGAAGAGAAAATGATTAAGAAGAAGAGAAGAAGTAGTTTCCAAATTATGAACATTTAAACTTTTGAAATATTTGTAGTTGGGAAGACGTTTTGGGATCAAAATCAGCATATACCTGTTTGGTTTTCAGTTGTAAAATCAATATTTATTGCCCCAGAGCTTTCAAAATATATTCATTTTTCATAAATTTAATATATAATCTGCTGATATAATAAGTTTTAGCATTATAATTTTTCTTCAGGTATAAAATAATTTTTAAAATAGTGATAAAAATATCTAAAACTACCTGTAGCTAAAATGTCTCTCCAAATATCCCAACACAACTATAATTTAATGAAAATAACATAAATTTTTTATCAAATGCAAAAATAATATTAGTGGGCTTTTGAGTTTGAAGAGTTTTATTACACTTTAAACCCAAGTAAATTAAAATGTACTGTATTGGGTTTTAAGTGTAATAAAACTCTCCAAACTCAAAAGCCCACTAATATTATTTTTGCATTTGATACAGAATTTTATACTATTTTCATTAATATATAGTTATATATAATATGCAGAAATATTTTTATTAATTTATATCATAATAAATCTCATTAAACTCAATGGCCCCCTCCAATTTTATTTTATCATTTGGAAAAGTATTGCATGATGTTTATAGTTATATATGGTTATACTCACAGAGAGATTATAGCAATTTTCACTTGTACATATAACTGATAAATTAAATTTTAATTGATTAGGTTTGAATTATAAAATAAATCTTCAAACTTAAAATCCCACTAATATCTTGTTTTCGTTAATATATGGTTATATTAAGATTTCAGCTACAGGTGTTTTTCAATATTGATTAGCACACCATTTCCCCATTACGTATAAACATATTTGATTCGCATTATGATTAATCTCTTATAACTCAAAATTCCACAAATATTATTTTATCATCTGATAGAAAATTGCATGTTCTTTACAGTGATATGTGGTTATATTAAGATATTTGAAGAGGGATTTAAGCAATTTGCACTTGTATTTGTAACTGGTAAATTAAAATTTACTGTATTTGGTTTAAAGTATAATAAAACTATTCAAACTCAAAAGCCCACTAATATTATTTTTGCATTTGGTAGAGAATGTTTATGCTGTTTTCATTAATATATAGTTGTATTGGGATATTTGGAGAGAGATTTTATCTACAGGTTTTAGAAATTTTGATCTCTATTTTGAAAACTTGTGTTTAGATTTTTTATACATGAAGAAAAATTATAATGCTAAAACTTATTGTATCAGCAGGTTCTGTGTTAAATTTATGAAAAATGAAAAGATTTTTTTGTTCTGGGCAATAAATATTGATTTTGCAAATGAAAACCAAACAGATATATGCTGATTTTGAACCCAAAACGTCTTCCCAACTTCAAATATTTCAAAAATTTAAATGTCCATAATACTCAAACTGATCGTTAGAAATGGCTAAAATTTGTTATTTTTACTGACATGTATATTTACTTAATATTTACAAATTTTCATTAAAATCTGAGGGAGAGTGGGTTATGAGTCCTGGATGATGGAATGACCCTCCATTAATATTAGCTTTCCACAGAACATTATACACATAGATTAGTATGTTAACTAATTAATGTTCTAACTATAAACAAATAAATCATATTTTTCACAGCTATTTATTGATTAATATATACTAGATATGTGGAGATTAGTTTTAAAACTGGAATGATCAACTTTTTTTCACAAAATGTTGTCATTTTCTTTTTTAACAACTCTTCAATGTACTGTCATCTACCAAAGCCATATTGATCAAAAGTGTCTCAATCATAGGTATTGTATGCTTCTAACTTTTGATGGTGAAGGGGACAAATAGCATCAAAGTTTAGTTCAAGCTATAACACTTTGTTAAAGCTATTGACATTATTATAATCTTCAGTTTCAGTTTGAAATAGAGGGAACAAAACAGTTTTCTTATTAAGCACAATTTTAAGTTTTTGTTATCTATTGTAGCATATCTGAAAATGGATAGAGCCGGTTCTGGAATTATTCCTTTAATCATTAATATATATGTGTAACATTAGCTTATATAAATAAAAAATATATTCAGTTTAATGATTAATGATGATTTTTTTTTTTCATATTTCAGTCCAATCGCTCATATTACTGAATACTCTGTACCTGAGAAGAATAATGGTAAGGCTGGTTGTTATGCAGATCCTGATAGCTTCTGGCGGAAATTCTTCTTCTACAGCATACTGACTGTCTTCTTCATCCTACCATTATCTATTCTGATAGTTCTATACACAGTTATAGCAAGGCATCTTATCCGTGACCCTGGAACCGCTAATAGTGGAGATAACATACGTGCTAGAAAGCAGGTTGTTCTTATGCTCGCCACTGTTGTGCTTTCCTTCTTTCTATGCCTGCTTCCATTTCGAGTATTTACATTTTGGGTCATTGTTTCCCCTGATGACATTACTGCCTTAGGAGAGCAGACCTACCTCAATCTACTTTACTTTTGTCGTCTGATGCACTACCTCAATTCAGCAATCAATCCCATTCTTTATAATCTGATGTCATCAAAGTTTCGACAAGGTTTTGGACGGTTGGTAGGTATTCGCCGTAAGAGACATTTGCTACTCCTTCGCCACAGAGCTACTTTTTCTAGTACATTATCAAGGTCAAGCACGCGTCTCCCTAGGGGCTCTCCTGACTTGTCATGGAGGGGAGCCTCTCTGGACTCTAGACATAGGAATGGTTCTATAAGAAGAAGTGTTATTCTTAGAAGTTCTCTCTTGAATCATAACAAACAACCTGAACCCCCACCTCAACCAGAAAGTTATGTGTAACAGATAAAAATTCTGCTATTGTATCTAGGTAAATTAGTTGTTCAGGTTGCATAATGTTACGGTTCTTACAACATATATATTTTTTACTGATTTCTATTCTGTACTAAATCCTATATCAGAAGAGATTTATGAATTTCTTTTTTTAATTTGAACGATTTCTGGACTATCAATGCTTATGAATCAGCATTTTGCATCCTAATGTTAATAGAAACAATTAATTACTGTGTAAATAGGTCAGCTCAATATAAACTAATAAAACAAAACACTTTTTTTCATCTTTATTAAATTATTGTAACTCATGACAAAACATAATGCTTCCTAAAATAACCAAGCATCAAAATATCATAAGAATTCTCAATGAGCAAAACAAAAGCTATTCATCTGAGGAAATGAGAACAAAATTTCATATTGTATCTTTAAAATTATAGGATAATGATGGAAGTGACAATATCCAAAGTTCCTAAATCATCCTTATATAAACAAAATATAATAAATATTTAAAACTGTAAACATACCACAGGTTTAAAATTTTCTGAAGAAAAATAAAATAGTAGAGCACAATTGTTTTAAAGATACTCTCATGAAATGTCATTATTTTAAATTTTTTTCTAAGAGTTTCCAATTTCATTCTCTATTTTATGAAACCTACTGGTAGATGTCAGTCTCATTAGAACAGAGGACGAAATATTTAAAAAAATATATATAACTTTCATATATAAAAAAAAAACTTAATACAATTAATTAATATTGCCTATTTACATGAATGAATAACTTTTCATAACAGACAAAAAATTATAGATAATATATTATTAACTACTATTGCATTTCAAACAAACAATAATTTATTTAACAACCAACAAATTCAATTTGTTTTCGTCTAAGTACTACTTCTTTTTTTGAGGTTGTTAAACACTAATTAGGTAGAAAAAAAGTTTTGCACCCTTTAATAGAAATGTTACAGAGAAATTACTTCTAATACTTAAAATCATTAAGTATTTATTTGAAACTCCAGTGGTGAAAGGGTATTTTTGTAATCAAGGGAGCACACTAAAAAAAAAATAATAATAATAATTTCAAATGTACCGAGTTATAAATTAAATCATTATTAAGTAATTTTGTTTGTTTCTATTAATTAAAATTCATTCAAAATTTAATTATTTATCACCTTTGTACAGTGAACTTCATGTAGTAATTTATTTAACAAATATAATATGGCCTTGTTGAAACCTTCTAGGAAAGGATGAACAGCAGATCAATGTCTATTTTTTGTAAATTATCTTATATATTTAGGTATATTAGTTATTTATTGTTTTTATACTATATTTTAATCATTTAAAATAAATATACATTCACAATATTAAATAAATAATTTATAAATACCTAATTTATTGTATATTTTAAGCCTATAAAGTGTTCTTAATGATTCAATAATGTAAATAGTATAATGCGTATGCTAAATTTAATTTCTTTCTTACCTAATTTATTGTTGTATTAAAAAAAAATGGAATTGTATTTGTGAGCCTTTACCAGGATAGAATGAATAGACATCACCAAAAATATTATAAAATAATCAATTGATATTATTTCATTAAAATGGACAGTAATCATTAACATGACTTGTTATGCAATATTTTTAAAATAGGCTTCTTTTAATATTTAAAATTATCATGTGATGCCTTCTCCTGAACCTAATTGGTTCAGGTGTTTGATCAGATAATTAAAATTTCATTATTTTTTAAATCTGTATCATCTTACCGAATAGCTAAGTTTTCAGCTTTTTTTTTTTATAGCAAGAAAGAAATAATCTTTACCAGAGGAAATAAACAAAAAAAAAAAGACTATAACAAAATTTCTCCTCTTTAAATATTATTAATACGTGGTTTCTAATGTTTATTAAATTTTAAGCTAATTTTATTTTGAAATATTATTTTGTAATTCAAACCATTATTATAATCATCCATTGTCATCAAAAGAAAAGTGTAGAAGGCAAATATGGTAAAGGCTCACTTTATTTTATTATATTTTCTAAACAATATATATTTTAACTATAAACTTATTGAAATACCAAATAATTAAATAGGTTATTAGCCTTAACCAAACTTGATTACATATAATCTAAATATGGATAGATTATGTTTAGTAATATATATGTTTGTAAACTTGTAAGTAATCTCTATTATAATTTATTTATAGTAATTAAATGGAGATCATAAATGGTTAATAGCTGTTTCACAATACTTATCTATTTTTAAACTCTATAAAAATATTGTAAAGTTTTAATGTTATCTTATGAAGCAGATATTAACCCTATAGTCATGAAACAAATAACTTATTTTACTCATGAGTATTATTAATTTTCACTGAAATGCGTATAAACCTTAACTTTCAATCTCATAACTTAATTACATTTTGATTAATTCTAATTTCCCAATTTCTATATAAATTCTCAAAAAAATATATAGAACTTAAGAATAGGGAAACAAAAATGTTAATATTAAAATTATTGCAAAACATTTACATATATTCACTATGTATGCAATTAGGTATAATTAAGAATTAATAACGAAAAGAATTAGAACAATTATTTTAAATTATGATTGGTAAACAGAGATATTTTCCGAGATTATTATAATGTCATTGAATGTAATGACTTACTGAACTTTTTACCAAAATACCTTAAATATATTTTTGTCTGATATTAAAAAAACTTTTAAGTGAAAATTAATTAGTCATTAATAGAGCTCGGATTTCGCGCAGAGAAAAATAAAATCCTGGCATTCACTCCATTTTTGTGAATAGAAATTCCATGTAATTTTATTTTGTTTCCTTATATAATTTTTTTCATAATAAAATCGGTTATGGAATAGAAATAAATCAATAACATAAGAACTCCATATCAATTTATTGAAAATAAGTTCCTATATGACAATTTTGTTGCAGTTTATTTCACCATTCCCACATCTTCTCTGTTTATCGCTGTATTTATTATTTTTAATGGTCCATACTCTGGATTTTCTCAGAGTAGTTGACAAATTTTCTTTCACCAATCAATCCTTGTTGTTCTTTATTGTTTATATTTAGTCCAACCACAATGAATAATGTCGACTTGAGATTTCAGCATAAATTTGTTTGTGCAATAATATTATTGCACAAAGCAAAAGCTATTGATTCAATTCAATCTTAGTTTAGATGATCCTTACATATTTGTTTTCCTCACAAATTATTTATGTTTAGGAGCCTCAAGAATAAATTGTCTCAACTTTGTAAAAATTTTCAGCAAAAACATCAGTGTCTTCAGCTGTATAATCCATAGATGAATCAGAGATTTGTCAAAGAGAGCTGTTAATACATGACCTCTTAGTAACTCTTAGTAAAAAGTTATTTGTTAGATAGAGATTTTAAATTTGATTTATTCAATAATTTTCCAACTATTATTTCATAAAACTTTTCTTCATATTTTTTTTATCTATTTACTTATTTTTTTAAGTTAACATTGTCAAACTTAGAAATAAAATTTTTAATTACACCGAAGTATGCAAGTTTGTGCAGTAAAAAACTAAAACATACAATAAAAAGTTTAAAATATGCAAGATAATATTTACACAAAATCAATCTGGATGCCTTACTTTGTGACCATTAATTATTCTTAATCGAGTTTAAGATATCAGGAAAATAGTGCAACTGCATGAAAACCCATGCTATAGTCATTGCATATCTTATTTTCTATTTGGCTTTGAATGGAATGGAATGGTATTAATCTAAATAAAAACAAATAATTGAATATTGAAAAAAGAAATATGAATTATGTAGAGACTTCATTAACCAAAGTATATAAAATATTTGTAAATGTTTCTTACTTTTTGAATGTCTTTAAAGGCTCTTCAGCAGTGCAGTGTAAATTACAATAGCAGTAAATTACAATATTATAATTTTTAAATATAAAAACACCAAATGTCACAACCATCAATAATTTTACCTACAGATTTAACTTTAAAAATATAAAAAATTAATAAATATTAAGAAAAATTGTATATAACATTCTTCAATTAATATTAAAAACTTATTGAAATGTTAGTGTAAAAAGGTTCAAAACGAAGATTTGTAGAATGGTCTTTTTGTATTATTAGGTGTAGGTAAATATTACTTATATTCTTATCAGAGAATTAATTTGTTAGGCTTTGAATTAAGTATGTTTATCTCATCATATCTAATTGGAGCTTAATTATTTTTTCCAACAATTAAAAGTGTATTTATACAAAATATTGTTATCACATTTGCATGAATTGGTCTAAAAGTGTTTAATATTTGTTGAAAACAATTGTTGCTAACTCTTGGATATGGAATCAAAAATAAAATAAAATAATATCTCTATTCAATTATAAAATAGCTCAATAATTAAATAAAAAATTAATATTTTTTTTTAAATGAGTAATAAAAACTTTGAATAACAGAAACAGTCAATGTCATTTATAAAAAAGATTAAAAAAATTAAACGTGAAATCTACTAGAACTACATAAATTTTCAATAATTTTTATAATAATACCAAGCAAAATTTTTACTTTTTAGTAAATTTAAAAGAACAGACAGATTTATATTATTGAGACTTTGTTCTTTTCTGATACAGCCATGACGTGATATAAAATTTTATATTTCTCTAGAGACAGCATACAACTTTTTATTTATTGCAGGCGGAAGTATTGCATATCTCATTTTCATGTGCAATTCTTAATATCCAATTGTTTCATTTTTAGAGGAATTATGTTATTATCATTAAGATTATTATTCACTTATTTCCTCTTTTTCTGCTGAATTCTATGATTCAGTTGCACCTTTGGGTCAGGTTTTCCCTTTATGTTATCAAATTATTTAGACTTGTTCTCTCACAATTCATCAACTATTCTGTTGCTCACTAGCTGCCTTTGATGATATCTGGATAGTAGGAAATTTTTAAATTTTGTTTCCTTTTTCCTCATTCTGAAGTTATTGCTGTCGATCACAG